GCCAAGATGGCCAGTGACAAAGACAGTGAGAGCCGCAAGCTAACAAGGACAAGCAGGCCCTCGTCAATGGCCACGTCAGACAAGCCCTGCCACAGTAAGAACAGTTTTCAGATGTTCCCATCGACACTAAGGGCCCAGCAGTGAGCAGCCCCATCTGGCTGACTTCTCCAATGTCCACCCAGGAACTGAAGAAATCAAAAGTCAGCTCCATGTCCTGGCCGGTTTGGCTCGGTGGGTAGAGCGTCGGCCTGCGGACTGAAGGGTCCCAGGTTTGATTCTGGTCAAGGGCACATGCCCAGACTGCAGGCTTGATCCCAGTGGGGGGTGGGCAGGAGGCAGCCAATCAATGATTCTCTCTCATCACTGATGTTTCTATCTCTCTACCCCTCTCCCTTCTCTCTGAAATCAATAAAAATATATTTTAAAAAAATAGTCAGCTCCACCTCCAAGGTCAACAGCCACGAAGTGGGTAAAACTTCAGGATGTGGGTCATTGCCACCCCAAACAGGAGACAACGGCTGACCCACCAACAGCACCACCCAGCGACGGAAAAGTGCCCAGATGCCAGGGAGATGAAGGGGACAGCAGATCAAGAGAATGGCTGGAAGAGGGTCACTTTGGGAGGGGGGCGGGCTCACCTCGGAGAGAGTCCACGACCGCCTGCAGCACCCGCACGGCCTCCTCCCCGAGCAGAGGAAAGTAGCTCTGAGGGAAGAACTCAGCCAGGTTCTCCTGCTGCAGGCAGTTGCCCAGGCGGTCGGGCAAGCCCACCACCTTGATTAGGAGCGCCTCCTGGAGCCGAGGAAAGGCCAGCTCCGCCTGCTGCCGACACTGCCCCTCCATGACTGCAGCCATCCTGCCCGCCTTCAGGAACCCGGCCAGCAGCCTTGCCATCTTCATCAGACGGAAACTGGGACTGAACCAAGAGCAGGTGTGAGGGGCGGAACCCCAACCTCCTCCATCCGCAGCATCCTCGGCCAACGGGAGCAGCAACAGCCGTCATGAAACAGGTAATCCCAACAACTTAACGGGCGCTATTCCCTCCACATACGTTGAAAGGAAGAGTATCTAAATCTCACTAAGTAGCTAAGATTGCCAGCAGGGTACAAGCACCTGCTGGGCCCAGTGCCGCCCCCTACGCTTGGAATCACACTGGACACCACCGCCCTCTCCTGGCCGTGGTTTTCATACGGTGCCTGCTGTCTTCAGCAGCCCCACTTTCCAACCAGGCATCCCCACAAGGACTGTCCTGTGCTCTGATGTGGAATCTAGGACCCCCCGCCCCCCAAGTGAGGGGTCCCAGGAGCTTGCTGGGGCACCTGGGTGCCTCACTGCAGAGCTGGGAGCCACAGGGTGAAGGAGAGGGTGATGGCCATGCACTGCCACCCCTGACACTTCAGTCTGGAGCTAACCCACTGCCTCAGCCGCAGGGACTGGAACACCCTCGTTGCAGAGATGAACACAAACCAGGTATGATTTTCAGGTGCCCTGCTATATTGGTTTGCAATCCTTCAGGCCATGCGTATGCTTTGGATGTGACCAGCCACCCCGTAATGAGACGCAGCCCCACTCACCCAGCCGTGTCCTCAAGGGCCTCCATCAGCACCAGGAAGGCTTGGTCAGCTGGGCCCTCCAGGAAGAAGCTGGCCCACAACTCCTCCAACTGGCCATTGGGCAGCAGCCCCAGCCAGTCCGGGTTCAGCTTGCTGACCAGACATCTGAGAACGGCTGAAAAGTGGACCCTGGCAAACTCCTCCTGCTCCCCAGGGAGGGCCGGGTTCTCCGTTCCTCCAAGATAGCGCTTCAGGGACCCCAGGGTGGAGAAGATGCAGCCACCATCCTCAGAAGAGGAAAGGGTGTGAACAGCCTCCCGGACAGTGAGCCGGACCGAAGACGGCACTGGATCCATCCTGTTCAGAGGAAAGGATGTGAAAGCGCACGGAGCCGTGGGCACCCACATGGGACCCAGTCTCGGAGAAGGACGCATCTCCCACCCTCTGGCCTCTTATTAAGCAAACTTCCTGGGGACCTCATTCCTCTTCACCCCTTCTGTCACCCAGCAGTATCCCCTCCCTCCCACCTCTTTCACTGTTTTCACCGAGAGTCCTTTTCAGGACCGGAGGCCCTCTATGACCCCCTCTACAGTAGGTCAACCCGTCCAGGGACACATGCCAGTAGCTGGAGATGGCAGGGGCAGGGATGCTGGTAAAACATTCCACATACACAGCCCCCACAATAGAGGATTATCCAAACCAAATGTCACCAGTGTTGAGGTTGGGAGACCTGGTCTCGAGGAACCCATCAATGCCCTTCGGACTTCCACTCGCCAAACTCCTTTTTTTTCTTTTTTCTTTTTGAAACCATCGCCGTCTGTGAGTAGTATTTATTTCGGGTCGAGCGCCCCGGCAGGACTAAGTACCATTAAGCAGGCGCCAGTCTGTTACCAGTGCACCCAGCCTCTCGATAAGCCTGTATTAGGGGCCCAACGGTGTCCCCCAGAGCCTGGTGCCCCCCGACCCAGCCGGGTCTACGAGGGCGGCGGCACGCAGAGTGCATGCGGGCCAGCAGCAGCGATCAGCCGTCCCGCGCCCCCACCCAGCGTGCGGCTGCAGCCCACCTCGCGGCGTGAGCGACGGGAGGGCCTCGTGGGGTGGGAGGGGTCTCCGGGCCGGGAGGAGGGCCTCGAAGAGGGCAGGGGTCTCAGACCCCGCGCCGTCGCTGTGCACCCGCTGCCGACTCACTGGGGTCGCCGAGACCCAGCTCTACGCTGGGCCCATCGCGCGGCCGCGGAGCACGAGCTCCCGGGCCCGGGCAGAGCTGCCGCGGAACTTCTTTGAGCTGGTGGGTCAGCTGACCGACCGCGACGAATCCGCGAAGCCCGGAAGCCAGAAGGGGCGGAGCGGGCGGCCGCATCTGCGCCTGCGCCGGACGGGGGGCGGGGTCTGTGCCGCGCGGCGCAGGGGCCGGAGTGGGGGGCGGCGTCACCCTGTGGGTGGGGCCGCGCGCCCCGACCTGGCTCGGAGCAGGGTTCCGCAGTGCGCGAGGGGGCGCCCTTCTTCTGCCTCCGTGTGCTCGTTACCCGGAGTCATCTCCAGCCCGCGCTCAACTCCCGAGGCCAGTTCTCTCCCGGGCGCCACGCGTGCGCGCTCCACACCGGCTCCATGGAGCACCGGCCGTCCCCGAGGCCAGGCCCTGCGCTCCAGGGTGCGACCGTGATAGGAAAACGCCCTGCAGACAGGGAAGCAGGGAAACGGGGCTGGTGTGGGGATGCATGACTGTAGCGGTGTGAGTCCGGGTCCTGGCATAGGAGCCGCACGTTCAGCATGTGACCACCAGCCACAGGTGGCTATGGACGTTAGCTGAAATCAAACCAAAGGAGCAGGTCAGTTCCTTGGTCGCACCAGCCACACCTGTAGGCAGTAGCTGCCGTAATGCACAGCGCAGACAGGGTACCTTCCGTCCTGGCAGAGCGCGTGGCAGCCTGCGGGAGTGATCCGGGAAGACTTCACAAGAACCTGCCATTTCAGCCCAGACCAGTGATTTTCAACCTCTTTCATCTCGTGGTACACATCACTAATTACTAAAACTCTGCAGCACACCAAAAAATACATTACTTGCCGATCTGACAAAAACGGGTATAATTTTGATTCTTTCACGCCGGATGCTATTGTATTGGCTGTTGCCATTTGTTTTATTTGACAATCTAAGGCAGTGGTTCTCAACCTTGGCTGCACATTAGAATCACCTGGGAATCTTTTTAAAATCCTGATTTCTGAGCTTTTTAAAATCCTGATTCCAGGATTTTAAAGATTCCCAGGTGATTCTAATGTGCAGCCAAGGTTGAGAACCACTGATCTAAGGGGGAAAAGGTCAGGTATTGCATGTTTTAAAAATTCTTGCGGCACACCGGTTGAAAATCGCTGGCTGTATGTCCTTGTGGAAACATCTGGGAAACAGTTATTCATCCAACATACAATCATTAAATGCGTGCAGCAAGCACTCTTCCAGGGAAGAGAATGAAGCAGATTAAGTTCCTTCTCGCATATCAAGTGAGAAAATAAAGGACATGAGCAATACACCAAATGGCAAGTAGTGATCCGAAAAAGTAAGCGGGGAAGAAAATGAGTGACTAATGACGGTCTCATTTTAAAACGTCCACTCTGGGTGCAATTGGGAGAATGGACGGCAGGGGATGCAGGGAGCCAGCGGGGTGGCTGGTGGGGGCCAGGTGGTGAAAACTGGCTGACCTAGGATATTTCTGCAGAATACAAATGATGGATTGGATGTGGGGGGTGACAGGGAGGGAGGAGTGAGGATGGTGACGTCACCAGCCAAGTGTCTGGTGATGCTTGGCTGAGCTTTCGCAGTAAGCAGTCGCTCTGGAAATTCCTCCCAGTCCACTTATGGATTAGAGCCCTCGATCTCCACTTCCTACAGTGACTGCAATCATCTATTCCTCTATTTTCCTATGATTCAGTAACTTCTCACAAAACAGTGCACAGAAGATCAATTTCTTAAGCCTTTACATATCTGGGGGGAAAATGCCTTTATTCTTTTCTCAGGGTCAATTTACACTTGAGGTGGGTGCACAACTTTAAAATTTGAAAACCATTTTCACTCGGAAATGTGAAGGTTTGCTCCTCTGTCTTTGGCAGCCAGCCCTGCTGCTGAGATGGCCGGCAGTTCTCTGGGGAAAGTCTCGATCCTTCCCGTGTGACCAGGTTTTCTCTCCGGACACTTTTCAGATCTCCTCCTTGTCCTGGGTTTTCCGGCACATGGTGAGAGGAGCTGTACTTTCTGAGCAATTGCTTTAACTTTGCCTTTCAGCTGTGTGTGGGGGGGGGGGGGGGTATCATAGTTTTTACTTTATTTTTTAATATATATTTGTATTGATTTCAGAGAGAAAGATAGAAACATCAATGAAAAGAGAGAATCATTGATTGGTTGCCTCCTGCAAGCCCCACACTAGGGATCAAGCCCACAACCCCGGGCATGTGCCCTGACCGGGAATCGAACTGAGACCTCCTGGTTCATAGGTCCACGCTCAACCCCTGAGCCACGCTAGCTGGGCATCATAGTTTTTCCTTTCAAGAGCAGCTTCCTTTCTGATTCCATTTTTTTGTAGCATCCATTACTTGCCTTGTGGACACAAAGCCTTTCTTATTTTTCTAAGGGTATTGATTAGAACCTTCTTGAGCTTTTCCTTGGCCCTCTGCATTGTCTTCTGGGTTCCTTTACTGTTTGGGCAGATTTCTGTCACTCTTTTCAGAGGTGTCCAAGTGTCTGGTGATGCTTGGCTGAGCTTTCTCAGTAAGCAGGAGAGAGTAACCAGGGCGACAGATAAGGGGGACTACGTACTTCCGCAAAGACCGTTTTCCAAATAAAGTCCCATTCACAAGTATAGAGGTTAAGACTTAGACCTACATTTTGGGGGTCACCATTCAGCCCACTACACAACCTGTTCCCAAAATAAATTGCGGTGGCTCCCACTCCCATGTCCTTTGTCTTCCTCGAGGGAGAGATGTCCTCACAGGATGCTTTGGGCATGATGCGGTGCTGGGCCCCACTACAGACTTGGATCCAAGGATCCCCTAGCCGCAGCCAGGTTCTCTGTCCTGCTTCAACTTCCTCTTGGTGGGAACATGAGTCCCTGTGCTCCTGCTAAAGCAATCACCCCTGGCCGCCGCTGAGCCAGCCGGACCAGGGCTTTCACCCCATAGAATTATTTTCCAAAGAAACTGCATCTGTTTTAAGCTTGTCTCCTTGGGAACCTCTGAATCTCCCGAGCCCGTGGGCTGGGAGGCAAATGCCTTTCATTTGGTGGCAGGAAGTACCTGACTCCCAGCCAGAGTCAAAAAAGGAAAATTTCTCCACCAAGAGCTGGAGGCAGCATAGGCTGAGGCAGGAGCACAAGGCAGGCAGCAGCATCCTACAGGTTGGTGGCAACTCCCGCTGCTCTTCTCAGAATGGGCTGCCCCGGAAGGACGACCCTGTCTTTCTTGCTTATTTTTGTGTCCGTATACCTGCATGGAGCTTTGTTGCAGGAAGCCGGCCCTACGGGGCAAAGAAAACCGTTTTTTGAGAGGCTCCGCAGACTGGAGGAACAGGTAAACACCCACCATGCAGGGCAGGTGGTTTTGGTTGGGTTTTTTTAATTGGCAACAGAAGGACAGAAATGGAGTAGTGAGCCTTGGCACACTATGGACACAGGTGTGGAGTTTGTAGTTCTTTTTAGCAGCTGATGTTATTTTCACCGATAGCTGGCAACCAGCAGAAAGGTTTCCCAGGCCAGGTTCTGTGGACAAGTAAGGGTTCTGACACATGAGGGCTGGGTGGGAGTCACAGGCTGGGAGGGGTAGGAAGCCCCCAAGGGTGCATCCAGGCCGCTGGATCTGTGCAGGGGGAGGGGAAGACGGGGCAGGGGAGCGGATGAGGTAGCAGCACTGGGCATGCGGGTGAGGTCTTCGGCCCATCAGTCCATCGTGGAGCAGACACTCCCATGTGGTCTGGAGCCAGTTCCCCGCCCTGCATGGACCAGGCCTGCCTCAAGTGCTCCCCGCTTTGACCCGCATAAGCAGTTCACTCGGCCCATCCTGGTGTCCGTCCACTCACAGGGAGGACCCCGAGGGTCAGGGGTGAAGAGTGGGGGACCAGGCTGGTGGCCTGAAGCCCTCACCCAACACAGTGCTACCGAGTGACTTGAAGTTGGTCCCCCCTCCTCCCTGAACTCAGCTGGGAGGGGGCTGGTCATGGTGACTGGCCGGCCATTGGTAGGCGCCACAGAAGCGTGGCAGGGAAGGCTTGTTCGGAGCCCTCCCGGGCCCTGCCCCCAAGGCTGCTGTGTGCCTCTGCAGTTCCGGAGGTTCCAGGAGGTGACCCTAACACACCTGCAGGCCATCGCCAGCAACTACAACCTGTCCTACAACATCGACGCCCGCTTCCAGAGCTTGGCCCAGGAGAGCCAGGCCTTGGCTCTGGCCGTCAACCAGTCGCAGGCCACTGTGCAGGGCGACCTGGGCCACCTCAAGACCTGGATTCGGAAGACACAGCGCAGAAGCCGGAAGGTGGACTCCCGGCTGCTGGCCTTGGGTGTCGCCCTGAGGGAGAGGAGCCAGCAGCTCGCCCAGGAGAGGAAGGAGCAGGCGGCGCAGCGGGAGGCACTGTCTAGCCTGGCCCTGGACATGCGAGCCCTGCAGGACACGCTGGCTCGCCTGACGCACGTTGTCCAGAGCCAGGGCGCCAGGCTGGATGCTCTCAAGGAGTGGCTTCCTGTGGCTTGCCCTGGCACCACACCCCCTGCCCGGCCTGCGCTGCCAAGCCAAAGCTCCCCAAAGCTGCAGGAGGGCAGGCAGGTGCTCAGAACTTCGCCTGAGCCCCTGGACCTACCTCGGGATTTTGCTGGCCATCTCCAGGGGACACGGGAGCCGCCAGGCCCAAACAGCCAGTGGGCACGGCGCCCTGAGAGACTGGGAGAAGGTAAGTCTCATGGGCCTGCCTTCCCTTATCCACCTCCACTTTCCCTCTCGCTAACTAAGGAGTTAGGCCGCTGATCCCCTCCAATGAGCCTCTCTCCTGTTCTGTGTGGAGGGAACACTGGCTCACACCCCACATACCCCGTCCCAGAAGAAAGGGGCCATCCAGGTGACAGCCAGCCTGTAGGTCCCCAGCAGGTCAGGGCCACCCCTTGGCCTGGGCATGAGGGGTGAATGCACACACGGGGTGCTGCCTGGCGTCAGCACATGCCGCTCCATGGCCGAGGTTGGCCTCATTAGGGCTGGCGGGATCCCACCGATGCTCCCAACTATCGCCGCACGAGCCTCTGCAGGGCCTGGCTCAGCTGGCACCTCGTGGGGCTTGTGCCCGCCCATGGAGGGCCCGGGCCTTTGAAAAGCGAGTTCTGATTCCCCAGGTGAGGGCTTTTCGACCGAAGCACTACTGACATTTGGGGCGAGGCGGTCCTTCGTTGTGGGGCTGCCCCAGGCATTGCAGGGTGTTCAGCAGCACCCCGGCCTCCACCCACTAGTGCCCTGTATCTTTCACTTGCATTTTTGACCAGGTGGCTCCCGCTGCCTTGGTTAGCAGCCTCTGGGGCCCCTTCCTCGGAATCAGGGTTTCCCTTCATCCGGGCATGCTGGTGGCCTCGCCAGTAGGACAGGATCAACCTGCTGGCCTCTCGGAAATGGAGGCTGTAGATTTGGCAACCATAACCCTGTGCAGACCCTGCTAGATGTACCCTGGGGCGCAGTCACCTCTGGCTGAGGACCACTGCCCTAGATTATGACAGGAGCCCCCGAGGTGGAGAGAGGAGCTGGAGGCCAGCCACAGGAGGCCCTCCATCCTCAAACTCAATGGGATGATGGGCTAGAAAAGCATTTTTCCAGGCTCCGCCCCCAGCCTGCCAATCAGAACCTCAGACCAGGTGCAGCAACTGGAGGCTACCCCTGCTCCTTCCCCTACCCCCACACACAGACAGGCAGACCTGGCAGGAATCTGGTGGGCGGGATGGTGGCCCCCAAAGACGTCCATGTCCCGATGCTGGGACCCTGTGGATATGCCACCTCATGTGGCAAAGAGGACTGTGCAGATGTGATTTTGAGATGGGAGCTGATCCTGGCTTATGGCGTGGGCCCAGGGTCATCACAGCGTTCCTTATAGAGGGAGGCGGGAGCATCAGGGTCAGAGGAGGGTCGGGCAACAGAAGCAGAGGACAGAGGGATATGCTTTGAAGATGGAGGAAGGGCCGTGAGCCATGAATGTGGGCATCTCTAGAGGCTGGAAAGGGCAGGAAAGGGCTTGTCCCTGAGTCCTCCCGAAGGAACCAGCTCTGCCAACACCGCGATTCTAGCCCAGTGAGACCTGACCTCCAGGACTATAAGGTACAAAATCTGTGTTGTTTTGAGCCACTGAGTTTATGGAGAATCATTGCAGCAGCCACAGGACGCTCATACAGAGGCTCCCTCGTGGTGAGGAGTGTGGGCGCAGGCCTGCTCCCTAGCAAGGCACATGCCTGCCTGGCTCCGTGTTCCTGCCTGTCAGACAATGAGACGCAGCCCTCACAGTTAGTGCCTGATAAAAGCCAGGGTCTTAGGCCCGCCTGCCTGGTGCAAAGGAAAAGCCCGTAGCATGTATGTTTCTGGAAGCTTCTGGGTGTTTCTGGGTGACCTGGTGGTGCAGGAGCTGACTCTCCCCACCCCCTCTTTCCAGTCTGCAACGTGGGCCCCGCGTTCGTCTTCCCAAACACCTCCACTGAGAACGTGGTCTTCCTCCGCCCCGGCTTCCTCGCCGGCCTGCGGGCCCTGTCTGTCTGCAGCTGGGTCCGGACAGCCTCGGGCCACCTGGGCACCCTCCTCTCCTACGCCACCGCCGAGAATGACAACAAGCTGGTGCTGCACGGCCGCGACTCGCTGGTCCCTGGCTCCATCCACTTTGTGATTGGAGACCCGGCCTTCAGGGAGCTCCCTCTGCAGCCGCTGCTGGACGGCCAGTGGCACCATGTGTGCGTCATCTGGACGTCCCTCCTGGGCAGGTACTGGCTCCACGTGGACCGCAGGCTGGTCGCCACCGGCTCCCGCTTCAGGGAGGGCTATGAGATCCCCCCCGGGGGCTCCCTGGTGCTGGGCCAGGAGCAAGACAGCCTAGGGGGTGGGTTTGATGGCTCTGAGGCCTTCGTGGGAAGCATCGCTGGCCTAGCCATTTGGGACCGTGCGCTGGTCCCCGGGGAAGTCTCACACCTTGCCACTGGCAAGGAGCTCCCGCCAGGCGCCATCCTGACACTGGCCAGTGCCGCCCTGGTAGGTGGATTTGTGCAGAGGGTGAACTGCACCTGCCTCGAGCTCTGCCCATGAGGTATCACCCCCCCCCCCTCGCCCCCCAGGAGCTGTGGTCATGCTCTGGGCTGGCAAGAGGAGCAAGTCTCCAGCTGTGCTCAGCCATCCCTGACCCCAGCACACTCCACGGAGGGTCCCCATCCAGACTGGGGAGCGAGGGGCAGGATGCTGCCACTGGGCCAGGCACACCTGGCACCTAACATAGAATGTGGGCATCCCATGGGTGGGGAGACAAAGCAACCGGGAGGGGGAGAGAGGGCGGCGGGCAGAGACACGAGTCAGGGTCCCTAAGAATTGCATTCTTTCCCTTGCGGCAGCATCCTTACAGTTGCCCTCTGTATGGTGTGCCATGATTTTAACAAGGCCGGACCAGGCCGATGGGAGAGCGGGGCTCCCACGGGGCCTCTCCTCAGGGCGTGGGCTCGCTCCCATTCAGGCTACTTCTGGGGAGAACTGTTTTCCCCGAAACTGCATGGGCAGCATGTGGACTGTCATCGCCGTCTCTCAAGGTGGCTATGGAAGTTTCCCTTTGCTGGTCCTTGTTCCAAAGCCTCAGGAAAAGGGCCAGAGAATTCATTGCCTGGCCCCCAACACCACAGCCTCCCATTCACGGGGAGCCCTGGGGGTTCCCTCAAGGTCCTGTGATGGCTGTTGAGGTTACCTAAGCCTCCAGGAGAGCGGCCCTGCAAGCAGCACAGTCTATTCAGAAATAAACACTCACGATGGACGGGAAATGCTTTTAAATAAAGCAACTGTATTGGGGTAGAATCACATACTATAAAATCCACTAATTTGAAGCGTACAGCTCAAAGATATTTAGTAAATTTTCCAAATTATGCCATCATCACCACAATCCAGTTTTAGGACATTTCTGTGGCTCCCTCCCCCTGAAAAAATCATGCCAATTAGCGGTCACTCCTGACTCTAGCCAGCCCCTTCCCCCCAGCTCTGGAAACCCCTGATATGCTTTTGCGTCTGTGGACATTTCAAATAAATGGAATCCTGCAGGAGTTGTCCTGGTGAGTCTGGCTTCTTTCACTTAGCAAACGTTCTCCAGGTTCATTCGTCTTGTAGTGCGTGTGTCAGTGCTTCGTTCCTTCCTATGGCTCAGTAACATCCTATGGTGTTGGGCCAGTTTTGCTTATCCATTCAGCAGTTGATGGCTATTTGGATTGTTCCCAATTTGGGGCTATCAATAAAGCTGCTATGCACATTTTCGTATGAGTCCTTGTCTAGATATATATTTTTATGTATCTTGAGTGGATACCTAGGAATAGAATTGCTGGATTATATGGTCCATTCATGTCTAAACTTTTAAAGAAACTGCCAAACTGGTTTCCAAAGTGGCTGTTATCATTTGACATTCCCACCAGCAATATATGAAGGCTCCCATTTCTCCACACTCTTACCAACACTTGAGGTTATCTGTCTTTTGTGTAACTTTTTCTTTTGTAGAATCTGGTTGTACATTTTTAAAAAATGTCTTCACAATTAGAATAGGCATGGTTTACTTTACGTTTCAGTGCATTGTAAAGTAACCCTATAATATTGGAAATTCCCCCCAAGAAGACCCAGATGCACCTCCTCTCCCTGGGGAGGTGCCCTAAATTAGTCCCTTGGGTCCCTTAGCAGGGTTCCTATCCCTGCAGAGCTCTTTGTGGTCCCAGCAATTCCAGGCTTTCAGCTGACTTAGCCCAGAGCCTCCAACTCCATGCCCACCCCCACCCCCCCACAACGCCACCTTTCATGAGTCAAGGTCAGAGAAGGCATCTAGAACTGGAAACCCCCTGGGTGGCCACGTGAAGGCCCCCTGGGTCACTGGCTTCTGCTTCCCTTTGCACTGTCCCAGGACACACCCGTCTCCTCTGGCCTTTTCTGGAGCCCTTACTCCATCCCAGTCTGGTGTTAAGGGAGGTGGGATGACATCTTTCCTTTGGGACGACTGGCAATTTGATTACTATTTCCCGAGGAACCAAAGGTCTGCAGCATTAAAAGATCACACAGGGCATTTTATCCCACCCCTCCCCTGCTTTCGGGTGCTTATAATGCTGCGGGGACTTATAATGTCACCCTTCACAGCAGCATTTTGCTGCATGTCTGAAGACCCTAAAGCCATGGGAATTTGGTGGAGGGGGTATTCACCCTGGGCTGTGCATTTGGGACGTTTAGTGGGGATGGGGCCGTTGAAGAGTGCAAAGTGGCCGTGGCAAGGGCTTGGAGTGGGGGCTGAGACAGCTTGGAGGGAGCTCAGGTGGCTGGGAATTTGATACGGATTGGCCTGTCCAGCTGAGGAGTCTGGGCTCTGCCCCACGGGACAAGGAAAGACTGTCCAGGTTTTGGAGCGGAGGAGTCTGATGGTCTCACATGACCCACCATTCCTGTGGGGTCAGCAGCAAAGTCCACCTCTAATTCCATCATACCTCACCTTTGACCTGAGTTTGTTGGGTTTCTGGGTAAGGAGGACAAGAGGACCCACAGCCCCCCTCCTCCTGCGGTGGGAGCTGGGTCCTGACAAGCTGCCTAGGCTGTGTTCCCTTCCCCCGCCTTTCCTACCCTGGCCCGTTTGTCCTCTGCAAGGGCCCTTGTCCAGCAGAAGGACAAGTTCAGGCTCCTCACCTGTCTGACAGGGGCGACCTTTGGGACCAGCCCTGCCATGTTGAGCCACAGGGATGGTCCACTCTTCCCGCACAAGCCTGTCATTCCAGGGACTGTTCTCATCACACACACACACACACACACACACACACACACACACACACACCCGTGCTCTGCTCAGCTCTTTTGCCTGCCTGGATGCCTTCACACAAACCACACGCAGCCACTCACGTCAGTCAGACAGCCAGGTCCAACCCTGCCTGCTGCTCAGGGCCTTCTGTGAACCAGCTTCCCTTCCCAGCCTTTGTGCCCTCGTACACTAATGGGGGCCAGCACTCTAGACACCACCACTAGAAGGGGCAAAGGCAGGTCATACTAATGAGGAAACACCTTTTTTGAAAGAACGTTGTTTTTAGTATTTCCTAAAAAGTGTTGCCCAATAGTCATGGGGGAAATTTACAACCCGGTTGGACCTCCTTCCTCTTATTTTGGTTTTAGTTTTGATTTTATTTTAAATTTTGAAATAGTAGAAAGGGCTCCTTTATCTTCTCAGCCTCAGAGACTCTAAAAAACTGTTAGATAGACATGAGCAGAGCAAGGATGATGGGCCAGGCACAGACACTCACCAGGGCAGAAAGCCCCAGACGCCTAGCAAGGGGCAAAACTAGGGAAACAAGAACCTCACCCCGGGTAACCTATCCTCCCCGAGCATGTCACTGGCCATGCAGTTTGGACCTCTGATGTTTCATATCGCTGATCAGGCGGTTTACACCCCCTGGCCTTTTCCTCCCTAAAGATAACATCTAGGCCTCAGTTGTATTTCAGCTCCAGGCCCAGAAAAGCAGCAAAACCAGATAAGTGACATCTGGCCTGCCTCAGGACCAGTTACATTGACTAATGACCCCCTGTCCTGGCACCGACCAATCAGTGGAGACCACAACCCTGAAGCACACCTGGAAAGCTGATGAATATTCTATGAAGTCCTCCCCTGAGTCCTCCCCTCAAATTTCTACCTGCAAGAGAGAGAGAAACGTGCGCAGGACAAAGGACCCAGTGCGTGCTCTCCCTCCAAGGAGCACACCAGTGCCATTCCCTGTCCTCTCTTCTCCCCGCCCCTCCCACCCTCCACAGGCACATACTCCCAACCTCTAAGGGACCCCATGAGACTTGCAACCAGGGGGGCAGTGGGCAGTGGCAGCTCATCCTGGGCAAACCCTGTGAACCTCTCTCCAAGGTCCCCTTTTCTCTGACTTCCCAGCGAGCAGAGGCAACCCAGCCTAGGCTCTCCTGTTGCTTCTTCTATGCCCTTCCTTGTGTCACTGTCCTAAGTATGTTTTTGCTGCCACCCTGGACCCAATGCCCTTTGGCTCAGTGCTGTGTAGCCCTTCCCTTTGGTTCTCCCCATCCCCCAACCCCTTTACCTTAAATAAATTAAATTTTAAAAAATCACCATGTGTGGTGGCTATTTAGCCTGCCCAAGCACCACCGACTTTAACCTTTCAAGAACTCTAAAAATCTTTTTTTTTTTTTTTTTGGAAATTTTCAAACCTAAATAAAGTTGTGAGACGAATACATTCCATATCACATATATTTATCTTAGATTCATCGTGTTAACACTTTATCACATTTTCTCTCTATGTGGGCATCTACATGTTATGATTGATTACCTTGTGAATCTTTTGAGATTAAGTCGCAGATATTACATCACAACACATCCTCCTACATATTTCAGTATGCATCTCCTGAGACCAAGCTTTTCTGATGTAAGCCCGCATGAGGGATTGAACAATGCTATAATAATCCTACCTAACCCACAGTGCCCAGCCAACCTTTGCCAAAGTCCCAATAATGTCAGAGCCACAGAGCAGCCTTTGGTTACCCTCTTTCCTCTCCTTTCATCAGGGGAGAACTGTTCCTTGGCCTTTCTGTGTCTTTCACGACACTGACACTACGGAATAGAGCTGCCTAGTCGTTAGCAGCTGCTCCTTCCATTCGGGTTTATTTGATTCCCCTCCCCGCCACGGGAATAGGGAAAGTATTTTCTTTCTTTCTTTTTTAAATATATATATTATTGATTTCAGAGAGGAAGGGAGAGGGAGAGATAGAAACATCAATGGTGAGAAAGAATCATTGATCGCCTGCCTCCTGCACTTCACACCCGGAGCCACTGGGCATCGAGCCTGCAACCCGGGATATACCCTTGACCAGAATCAAACCCGGGACCCTTCAGTCCGCAGGCCGAGGCTCTATTCACTGAGCCAAACCGGATAGGGCAGGAAAGTATTTTCTACAGGAATGCTACAGGAGCGATGCTGCGCCCTGCCCAGTGCAGCACAGCTGGAGGCTTGTGACGATGCCAGCGCATGATGGTGATGCTAAGCCTGTCCTTGGTTCAGATGAAGTCTGCCAGATTTCTTACAGCAGGTTTCTTTTCCCTTCCTCATTATAAATAATCTGCAGGGAGATACTGTGAGACTGCGTACATATTGTTTCCCAACAAACCTTAACCCAACGGCTTCAGCTTGCACTAATGATTCTGGCCTAAATCAGTCCTTACTACGGCGGTGGTAAATGGCGATGTTAATAATTCCATCCTTCCTTCCACACTTATTATTTGGGAGAGAGAGACCCTTACCTCTCCCCGCCCTCCCTTCCTGTTCCGGGTCCTCTTTCCCTCCGCTAAGTGTTGGTTGGGTCTGACGGACTGGGACTAGGTTGACAGCCTGGAGCTACTCGAGGGGGTTCTGCTCCCACCAGACTCGGGTGAGCCCCCTTCTAGACCTCGAATGCTACAGAGCCGGGTCCTGCCCGCCACACCGCGCCGGGCGCCTGGACCACAACTCCCAGAAGGCCCAGCGCGGTCGCCCTCTCCCCCGTCCGCGGTCACGTGGACGCCACCAAAGTCATGCGGACGCTGTCCGAGGTCACGTGGTATCGGCGCGGGTCACGAGAACAAACACGGGGCCGCGGCGGGCCATGGCCAACGTCTCCAAGAAGGTGTCTTGGTCCGGCCGCGACCGGGATGACGATGAGGCGGCGCCGCTGCTGCGGAGGGTGGCCCGGCCCGAGGCGCCGGCCGGCGAGGGCTCGCCGCTGCTGAACGGGGCAGGGCCTGCGGCCGCCCGCCAGGTGAGGAACCCGGGCGGACTGAGGCCTCGCGCCTGGGCGCCCGCCGGCAGAGACTTCCACACCTCCGGGCCCCGCGCGGGCCGGGCGGCGGGGCGGCCTCCTACTGATCGGGGCCGGCCCTGGGTCCGCGCATCAGTCTTCCCTCCCGCGGGAGCCGCATGGCCGTGGGCCGCTGCGAGTCGGGGTCTGGGGCTCTGACGGGCCAAGGGTCCTTCGACGGCGGCGCTCTGCTGGGCCGGTGCTGCGTGCGCTGCGCGTTCCCAGCGGGGCCTCGCGGGGACTCGGTGCTTCATCCCGTTGTAAAGACAAGGAAGTTGGGCCGCGGACGGGTTCGGGAATGCGCCCAGGGTCTCCCTTGGCAAATGGCAAAGCTGGCATCGCAAGCTAGGCCCTGCGTTCCGGAGTCTCGGGAGTAAGTTCTGGG